TGCCGGTAGTGGTGCTGGCCACTCTGGCGAACAGCAGGCGCTATGGCCAGCTGTAGCGGCTTTGCAAAGTCGGGTGCCGCATGATGCCGCCTTCTCGCTCGAGTTCCTGCAAGCCGTATATGATATTTGCACGACTCCATGTCCCGAAGCCACCCCTTAACAGGATCGACGTAAAAAAAGTAGCAACGTGCTGTCGACTGTCTGTTGCAGTATATCTATTAAGAGATATTTCCCTTGCTTATTTGGCACTTGTACATGTAGCGGCTTACCCCCTCTTGTGTCAGTCAGGGTTCCAAGTTGTTGTCGCTATCTGCCATACTTGTTTCTCTTTTGTTGTTACAGGGTGGTTAAGCTTCACCAGTGGCCTCCTTCCCGAGGCAATTCCCTGCTCTCCCCTGCTAGAGGGGCACCCTAATCCATTCACCCCATCCGACTTCAGAGTGTACTCTTTGAGTTTGGCAACTCACCACCGGCATCCAACCAAATCTAGCGGATCAACGGCGCCTCAACTTAGTTCCTGGTCAGCTCGCAAGTTGATTTTATCACGTCCTACACCGTCCACAAGATGGGGGGCCACCTCCCATTTCACCACCTCCTAAACACCCGAGAGGTCGGCAGGTGGATTTGAACCCGGGTCGGCTGGGAGCAGAGGTCAGGCTTTGCCGCCAGCCGCCTGTTTCTGTATTATGGGTGATAATTTCCGTGTGTGTTGTTGTGATGTGTGGGGATAGATGAAGTCCTGCAAAGGTTGCGAATTCCAAGGTTCAATATGTAAATGATTAATGCAGCGTTACACACGAGTGAAGGAGTGATTTGTTGAGAGCAATCGCATCATATGTTGGTTAGTTAGGAGTATATCCCTTCTTGCCGATTTATGTTTCTTCTGTCTGTTGGTGACATTGTTCAGAACATGGTGCAAATATCTATTCTCTAGAGTCTAGATGTTGACTTTTCATAGTAAGCGACATATGTGCACATGGCTAGTGACAAACGTTGCTGTAACAAATATCATTTTAATGCCTACTAGGCATTAAAACTGTAGTACATACTGCTCTTCATCAACCTCAGTTTGCAAGTACAAAACGTACAAACGCGTGTACACATGAGCCCTACCTAACACATACTACAACTACTTGGCAGCATACTACACTACAAACACCAGTATGTAGCAGCCGGTACACAATACGGTGCTATAAATATGCGCAGAGCGCGACCGCCAGCAACTCGAGAGACCTTTTCAGCAGTCAGCTGCTACAAGTAAATACTGCGAATACCTAGCAGACACAGACAGTCAGTAACAGCACCAGATTGCCTATTTGGGCAACCCCACTTCTGTTAGTTAAGACAATTAGTACAGCCATTGACATCAGCAGAACTCCATGCCTATAGAAAAGAACTGCATCAATAAGGACAA